TGACTTACCCTAAGCTACGAAGAGTATGTGTATCCTCAGATGGCACGGAACGTTCGCGAAACGACATCATCGATGGCCGATCCCGTACCTAAATGTGCGATCCCTACCATAACCTCCTTTTGACCCAACTAACCCCACAGGGTAAACTAGACTTACGAAGACACTCGGTTCCAATGGCATTGTTCGTCGGAATGAATCCACACTATTACCTCGTCGTCGCCCATCTATTTCGTATAGATCCGATTTTCTATCTGGTGACGTGCCTCGGGAGCTGAAATGATTAAATCAATCGATAAATCGATTATTGATTGAGTGCGTGGAAAAATAGCTTACAATAAACTTGATGTATCAGCTGGTAATTTAGCACCAAGTGATGCAGCAATGATTTCAGCTGCATGGCGAGGATTCCATTCGCTACGGGGCTTTAAGCTGACATCTTCTTCCTGAAAAATCAATAAAATACTGCAAAAACAAGTCATTTAGGACCTCAAAAATCATACGTGATCTAAAATGTAAAAAAGTACGAAATCCGGTTTCTTTACCTCATAACTCTCTTCTCGGGGCAACTGTAGCAGTTCAGATACCGTATCCACCACTTGCATCATCCTATAAAAATCGATTATTGATTTTTCTTGCCACACCCCTAGAAGCACCCCTTACTTTACGGGATCTTCTTGATCCAGATTCCAGGTTTTCCATGCGGGACGCGAAGGCGATGGAACATGATAGAGGCCGATATCATTAGAGTCGTAGGACAATAAAGCCTGGAGGAAATTCATCGATTGGTAACCAAGTTACTCGGAAATGTTCAGTTACCCAACCCTATTAAGTTTCGAAATCAAGCGCCGATCTGGTTCGTTGGCAGATTCTAAAGTGCGACCGAGCTCGTTCAGCAGGATGATTTCGACCTAAATATTAGAACAAGATCTTCAAAAATGAAAAATACAAGATTCTTGGCAAACCTTGGCGACGAATTCTTTAACAGCAATTCTTTGCTCATGAATTTGTTTACTTCGTCT